CCTACTTTTTACTTGTCTACTATCAATGACATCAATCATTCAACTAATCTAAAGGATGAGACATACATATAGTGTGTCCGCAAAGTATGGAATAAATTTGATATTTCCAAAACCAAAAGTGATCCATAATAATGTCATCATCGGTATTTATTTTTAAATGCAACACCCTGTATTTGGTGTCAGTTTTAGATAATTTCTCTATGTATATTGCAATAATAAACAGTTTGATCACAGTTGAAATCCAGTGTTGTTATTTTGGAAACTAGTGCTACAAATGACTATTTTCTTCTTTCTATTCGTGATAGAAATTACATCCTAGTTTTAACTTGTCTACTATTAATGACATCAATCATTCAACTAATCTAAAGGATAATACATACATACAGTGTGTCCGTAAACTATGGAATACATCTGATATTTCTAAAACCAAAAGTGAACCATAATAATGTGATGACGTCATCGGTATTTATTTTTAAATGCAACACCCTGTATTTGGTGTCAGTTTTAGATAATTCCGAAGACGTGTGATATTTGAGGTCTAACGGACATAATTTGAAAGATGTGGGCTAAGAAAATAAATTTTATTGATATGTAATAAAGGTAGAAAATAATTAATATGGCATCCTTTCAAAATCGAACTTCTACAGGAATTAAACGCGGTTGATCCAAATAGAAGAACAGAATTTAGTGGAGCTATGATGGATAACTATCACCGAGACCGTCTCCTCGTAAAAAATATGTTCTTTTTCTGATGAAGCCACTTTTACATTAAATGGTGGGGTCGACCGACAGAATTGTAGGTCCTGGGTCAAAGAAAACTCCCACTGGATGCGTGAGCAGCATATACAATACACGCAAAAGATAAATGTATGGGCTGGCATTGTAAGAAACAGGATCATCGGACCCTACTTTTTCGACGGTACTTTAGACGGGACAACATACCTTCAGTTTTTAAGGGGATATCTTGTACTTACTTTAATTAATTTATTCCCCAGTAGAATTAATCTTGGAAGTTTTGATGAAAGTTTTTGGTTTCAACAGGACGGTGCGCTTCCACATTGTGCTGTAGATGTTCGAAGGTATCTCGACCAAATGTTTACGAACCGATGGATTGGTAGAGGTGGATATATTGAATGGCCAGCGAGGTCGCCAGACTTAAATCCGTTGGACTACTATATGTGGGATCATCTGATAGATGTTGTTTATAAAACGAAACCAGCAAATATTCAAGAATTGAAAGAGTGTATTCGAACAGAATAAACAATATAAACAACCATAAACAAGGTTCAACAAGAATTTATTCAACGTTTTGGTTACTGTCAAATACAGCAAGGACTACAGTTCGAACATTTAAAATAAAGTCATGTGTTTATTACAGGATTACTTTCCCATTGGTAAATTAATCATTGGAAAAAATAAAGAATAATTTCTATTTTTATTAGATATCAATAAAATTCATTTTCTATGCGGAAATTTTTCAAATTCAAGTATTATAAATTTTCGGAATCAGCTCGTTACGGATTATCTGAAACTGATACGAAATACAGGGTGTTGCATTTCAAAAAATTACCGATGACGTCATCACATTAATATGGATCATCTTGTATGATGAAATTTTGTTGTGAAATATAGAATGTTGAAATTGAAAATAGACGTGTTTCAGGTTTTTGTGAAACGACCTTTGGGTTTGGAAATATCGAATTTATTCCATACTTTGCGGACACACTGTATAAATAAATATTTATTCAGATAATCAACAGATATTTTGATTATTTACATTCAAAAACATGTTTTCGATACACAAATTAACACACGTCAAATGACAGTATTGACGGAACAAGAAACATCACTCACATTCTTCCCAGATGGAAAATATATATCAGGTCAAAAGTAAAAACAATCTAGTATTCACTTTTGCATGTTTTCAAAAAGTGCATGACTAGGTTTGTGCCCCAAATTATAACACTGTTCATGTCATCTGCTCTCTTCAAGCCCATGTTGATTGGGCGTCTTTCAGAAATGTTTCATTTTTATAGTACTTCAAAGCAATATGAGTTTCTATCTAATGCCGTCTGTGGTGTTTGTGAAAATCTTCGAAATGTAAATACAAGTAGAGGGAGGAATGATTTGTCAGAAAATTGTAGCCCAAAAACGAATAGTTTTTTCCACAATACCGAATATTTTCTTCGTAATGCTTCCCACAAGCGGCGCATAGCTTCAAACTAATACTTTTTATTGACCGTACGACCATGTAGCAGGAACTCCTGCTGCACTATAATTTAGGAGCTAGCCACGTTTTTGAGAGAGAATTTCAGAACAGTTGGTTTTTTGATATGCTGTCTTTCTTGCTTTTTCGGTTAGAGTCCGGGCTACCCGGCTGGTGATAGTGGTTGCGTTTATTAATGTGCATCTTACCTGCACAGGTAAATATCCTTAACTTTAAAAGAGTGTTTTAAAGCGTAATTTTTAATTATTTGCCTTTAGATAGATCCACCAGACAGCATTTTTTTATTGCCACGCATTTTTTTATTGCCACGCATTTTTATTGTTGTTAATTACGTGCCATACGCGATTTCTGTTTAAATAAAAAATTCAAAGTGTTTTTGAAAGTCTGTAATTTTTATATTATGTTCTTTGAATATAAAATAATCTAAAATTGATTAGACAGACGTTAATTCCATTGTTGAGTATTGAATATAAATAAAAAAGTAATGAAAAATATGGCTGTATAATACTTATGGTTAGAGAGAGACAGTTTGAAGTGCAAGACAGATAGGAAGCGACGGCAGCGCATCGGTAAATGGACAACATGGCGTCAGTCCAAAGTCACATGTTTTTTTTGTGTTTACGTTATTTGTTATGTTTATTTATTAATTTTGTTACAATGGCCAGCATTTTTTAGAAAAGGCAAAGTTAGACCTTTTAAAATGTTAGAAAAATCAAACGAATATCAACTAGCTTTTCAAAATATCATTACGAATGACGGAGAAATACTTGAAACTACCTTTGTAACCCTTGAGAAGTTTATTTGTCAAATATATGGAGTTAAAAATTCTTCGAATGTTAATGATGTTCGATTTCGTCTATTTTCATATACCTACTTTCCAGTCTAGAAAATCCGATGAAAACTTTGAATAAAAATTCGAAACATCGACTTATCCAGTTTACCACCCAGTAAAGCAGAATTGCTCCAACATTTATTAAGGGTTCGTTATGTGACTAAGCTAGGGAGAAATGCGCACTGAAAACATCCGACATCTTTATCTCCAGTTGCTTCCGCTTTGACCATCAACGATGATAAATATGTTATTATTCAAAGTAAGTATTGAATAGAAAAACTGTATTATTATATAACGAACAGATGTTACAGATGATGTTACAGATGATAGAATATTGGAAGACAATGACAATCCCCAAGACAATGATTCAAATAATTCTGACTGTGAGAGGGAAGATGATGATGATGATTTTTGAACCTTCCATGATATAGTTTTTATTCCATTCTTTCCAATTTATGCTTATTTGAATTATATTTTCATTTTTATGTTGAAATTTTTTCATTCCAACATGTATTCACAAGAACAAGTGTTAGTAATATATTTTTGCAATTATTTCCTGTCTCATTCTTGAAATTTTCAGTTATACACTAGCAAATACGTTGCCGTCGCTTTCTATCTCTCTTGCACTTCAAACTGTCTCTCTCTAACTACAAGCATTATACCACAATACATTTCATTACTTTTTTATTTATATTCTATACTTAATAATTGAATTAACGTCTGGCAAATTGATTTTAGATTATTTTATGTTTGAAGATCATAATATAAAAATAACAGACATTATAAAAAAAATAAAAAATCGCGTATGGCACGTAATCAACAACAATAAAAATGCCTGGCAATATAAAATTGATGTCTGGTGGATCTATCTAAAGACAAAAAAATAAAAAGTACGCTTTAAATTTTTTTTTAAAGTTAAGGATTTTTACCTATGCAGGTAAGATGCACATTAATAAACGCAACCACTACCGCCAGCCAGATAGCCCGGACTCTAACCGAAAGAGCAAGAAAGACAGCATATCAAAAAACAAACTGTTCTAAAATTCTTGTTTTCCAAACGTTGCTAGCTCCTGTACTACTACGCCACAATAATCGAAGAAGGCAGTGAGCTGCAACTAGACATTTGATCGTACTTGGCGTTCTTTTTTGGTCTTGACTATTCTGGGCTCTTCCATTGGAACGATTGCAACTTTGCAACTTTTCTGATAGTAATTCGACGATTCTCTGGCGTCTTCTCGACCTTCTGTGAAAAGATTGAACTACTTGTAAACATTTTTGTCACTCAGAGTACAATCACCGTATGCCACTGTCAATGTTTCAAATTTTTTGAGCACCCAATTCAACTTTTCACATGAAATTTGATGCGGATTCTTTAATCCATTGTTTTTCGATAGCAGAGCACCCAAAACACCTTCAACTCTTATGTCTTTCACCAAAAACTAAACATGCTATACAGCTGAAACTGTGAATATATGTCCCAGGCAAGGGTACCAACATAAAAAAATAATAAAATCGCTAATCGAATGTACATAGCGTGCGAAATTTGAATATCCATCTTGCTTTTCTACAGACCTCGTACACTCTAAATAAAATATTTTTAAGAAGTGGTTTCTGTGTCCCGCAACTTTATTTTACAGGCTGAACTGAAAAGTTTGTCTTCACCTGTACAAAGTTCCCTATCCATCATTTCCAGATTTGGAATTTTATTTAATTTTCATAAACATGCTGAAAAACATATTTTGTATTGGTATATCGCATTGAAATTCACGGTCATAATTTCCTTCTTATCATTTCCTTCACAAAACAATCTAGTATTATCTTCATGTCTTCCAGACACTATACCACAGATATGTCAATTTTACTCTCGATAAGGAAGGAAAACGGGATCTTCTGTGGAAAACCACAATTTCTTATCGAAATCATCACTTCCCATTCAAAGTATAAGAAATTAATTCCTGTTCACGTAATCTGTATTTCGAGTAAGTCGCTTGAATCGGTTGCTTCTTCAGCGAAAAAGGTGAATACGTTTTTTTATTAATTATACTTAGCTACTTACTGATATTTTGAAAAATATTTGTACCTTGGAGTTTTTCCAGTATTAAATAATAATTACTATAAGAATCAACATAATATTATTTCGATACTTGAACAATAATAATCTTTCGATAAATCAATTCCATTCACCAAAACCTGAAACTCACCATTCAATTCACAAAAATTAAAAACAAACATGATTTCGCAATTTATCACAAACTAACCCATACAGACACAATTATACAGCGTGACTCACGGTCGATGGTAGGTTAGACGTTTCTGGAAAACGCAAAGCATGATTTTTCTGAAAATTTCACCTCTCACATTTCCTTACCTGTTCTATCGATCTAAAATATTTTCAGCATTGCGGCGTTGCCACATCCATCAAAAAGTCCTAGCAACTTAATTTTTTTAAATGGAACACCCCATATATTATTACTTTTTCGTTAATAATGTCCTATACCTATCTCTATCTGTTTTCGAGATAAAAAATAAATTGTGATAAATATGGTCCAAAATATAGCCTTAATTGAAATTCAGTACATCAGTACTCTCAATTCATGAAAAGTTGATATTTTGAGTAGTATTTTTCGTTCGTTATTGTTTTGAGCTTATTAAAAAAAATTATGTTTACCTTTTTAGTTCGATGTTCTTCAAAAGCGTGTTTTTTAGTTTTCTTAAAATATGTTTATTTATTTGTAATGCTACCTCCCAGACTATTATTTTAAATGATAAGTGTCCGTCGATACTTTTTTTGTTAAATATAAACTTAATTTGCCATTTTTGCAAAACAAGTTGAAAAGATCTGTTTTTTGGGACATGAGTGGGTTAGAAAGGTGTTGAAATTACGTAAGTTTCACCCGTACAAAACACAAATTCTTCAAGAACTAGACGATGATGATTCAGACCGACGAATTGAGTTTTGTGAACTCATGACTGAAAGAATTTGCGTTGAACCGAGAATGTTAAAAAATATTTGTTTCAGTGATGAATGTTCTTTTATGCTGAATGGTAATGTGAATTAACAAACTGAGTGATGCGAACCCGCATCGATTCAGAGAAGGTCACACTCAATATCCTGAAAAACTGAATGTTTGGGCAGGAATATTGAGCGATGCTATAATTGGTCCCTTGTTCATACCAGTCAATTTAAGTGGCGACATTTATCTCGATATGCTGGAAAACACCATCGAAACTCTAATTGTGCATGAATTAGAGAACCAAAGGGATGACCAAGGCAACCTAGCTGTGCTCCATCAACGAGATGGAGCACTTCTTCACTATGCAGCTTCAGTTAGGCACTGGTTGGATACTAATTACCCGAACAAATGGATTGGAAGGAGAGATCCCATTGAGTGGCCACCGAGGTCACCAGACTCGGCGCCACCTGCCTTTTTTCTATGGGGTCACCTCAAGTCAGTTGTTTATATAACTCAACCTGCGTCACTTGGGGAATTGCGAGAAAGAATTACGCAAGCATGTCGCGCCATTACTAGAACAAAATTTACCAAAGTTCATGCAGAATTTGAAAATAGGCTGTATTATTGTTTACAAAACTACGGAACCCACTTTGAAGATTTACTCAAGTGACATTTTTAATGAAGTTCAATGCAGTTCAACATAAACCTCATTAAATATCCATTTGAGCCAAAGTTTCACATTCATTGCTTCACCTTGTACAATTATTATTTATACCTTTGGATATCATTTTTTACAATCTTTTCAATTATGTATCACAAGTAGGGGTTTGCAATTTAAACTTTTTGTTTTTTGGTGGGTGGGGCCTAGGGGGTTGATGGGGGAGAGTTCTCTTTCATGTCACTTTAGTTCTCCCTTAGGAAAAGTTTCAAGCATTTTTCAATATCAGCTTTCGTTCGTGACATATATCCCATTGTAAGTTTTAAAATTGACACACTGTATATATAACAACTCAAACGACACTCTTCAACATAAACAAGCAGAATTATATATTTTTTTTACATATAGTCAGTGGGCATACTTGAAGACTGGCTATAAATTAAATCATCTTAAGGAACAATTTGTTCTGGCCACTCTCAAATCTCTACACTATAGGTTAATGGACTGACACCTATCAGAAAACATCTACTCCTCTGGCTAATACCACGAAAGTCATTGGATTATATCCGAAAGATGTCAGGATTCTTCACTGAAGTTATTCCTGCATATGCTGTTGGCGATACAATTGCCGCAATAGATTTTCAATTATTAGAACATACTTGCTGACCTCCTCGTCAGTGCAAGGTAGTGTCTATCATCAACATAAAGTCGATGACTTCCGATAATTGAAAATCGGTTTCCTTCAGAGTATCATTCCTCGAACTAGGCTGAAGCGGACAATGAACGACAGGTTTGTCATCGCCCCATATGCCTGTGAAGGAGGTAACCAACCACATATCCGTGGTGTTAGACAGGGGAGTAGTGCTTTTCTGATATGTGTCAGTCCATTAACTTACAGTGTAGGGAGTTGAGACTGTTTTAGGCGTTGGAGCAGAATTATAGACTTATTAGTATCCCTATGCCAATATATAATTTTAATAAAGAACTGTCATATTGAAGGTAATGCTAACACTTTCAAAGCACTGACACACGACCGGCAGATAGTAGACTAATAATTAAATAGACAATCAACATAGCATATATGACTGATAACTGGCTCGTGTCACATTTTAGCTTATAGACACATCAGCAAACAATATATAGCATATACCACTGATAACACCTTCGGTAGACCACAATTTCAACATCGACAATGACAACATTTCGGGTGTTTACAGGCTGGAATGTGGCTCGTGCCATATGAACCAAATGCTGAATGCCACATGTGCTAAAATGTGGCTCGTGTCACGTTTTAGCTTGTAGACACATCAGCAAACAATATATAGCATATACCACTGATAACACCTTCGGTAGACAACAATTTCAACATCGACAATGACAACAATTCGGGTGTCTACAAGCTGAAATGTGGCTCGTGCCACATGAGCCAAATTCTGAATTTCACATGTGCTAAAATGTGGCTCATGCCACATTTGAGCTTGTAGACACAACAGCGAACATAATTTAGTTTATACGACTGATGACACCTTGGGTAGACATGAAAAAAACAACAATTTCAACATCGACAAGGACAACAATTCGGGTGCCACATGAGACAAATGCTGAATGCCACATGTGCTTGAATGTAACGCGTGCCACATTTTAGTGTCTACAAGCAAAATTGTGGCTCCTGTCACATGTACCTGGTGGTATAGCTACCTGTTCAACAATTAATAATCTCTATTAAATGAGGTCAATATTGTGTACTTTTGGGCGTCGTCAATCTCAGCCCCAGCTTAGGTATTGCCTGTTTTCAAATCGCCTATCTCGACCCTAATATATATAAATTATACATATCTACCTTATTCCATTGCTTATGCCTTATCAGTATCATTCGTCTCCAAGGAAACAATAACACAAACGGATAAATATGTAGCATTTCTGTGATGTATGAAGATGGTGAAATAGAACGCCAAAACTTTCTTTTTTCAAAACTACCCTTCACTAATAATATGCCCCTCTTAATTTGAATATTATTGATATTTTCGAAAAATATTGATAATATCTGATTTCCTGTTTTTTTTCAGCATGTCTACGACAAAGAAAAATCTGCTACTGTTGTACGATCATCCCAAAGAATCAATACTCTCCACTAGAGGTCCTGAGAATGTTCAGTTTGATGTTCCAAATTCTTATTTGGTGAGTTAACCCAAAAAAAATATTTGAATTCAGAAATCCACTGCAACATTCTCAATGCCCATTTTCCATTTGTATTTTGAGGATCAGAAATTGAGTACAAACAAATTCAGTGTTCCTTTTGTTCGTTTGCGTTTGAAATTTCTGGCAAATTGTTGTTTGCCAGTAGTGTCAGTCTGGCAGTTGTGCATGCCAGTAGTTGTCAGTGTTACAGTCGTTAGTTGGTTAATGTATATCAGAAAAAATGATTCGTTTAACAGAAACACAAAAAATAACAAATCCAGAGATGATTTGTTATAAATATTATAAATATACGGGCACAAATGAACGTTGTTCTCCATAAACTAAAGCAAATTCAAATCCAAGATAGAGTGGATGTGAACATTGACATGCCCTACGCACGTGATATTGAAAATCCCAAGAATTGGCCAGGGTCGTATTCAGAACCAACATCTTGTTGATCGCAAATGCTATATCATATTTAGGAAAACTTTTTTATAATAACGAGTGAAATGCATAAGTTTTGCAGTTTAACGGGAGAAATGCAGATAATATGTGTAATATGAAAAGATTTTCATTGGATTTTTCACAGCGCACTCAAGCATTATATAAAAAGAGACATAATTATTTCTTTATTCCATACAAAATTCAAATGTTTCAATACTCTATGGAATGTTGACCGCTTAAAACTTGACAATAAAACATCTTCATTTATATCTGTGAGTACTTTGTCTATCGTGGGTATTTCATTTCTGAAAAAGTACTCATGCACTTTCCTCCTGATTGATTTTTTAATGGTTTGACGATTCTGATTACAACCCTGTGCTGGTACCGAACTCGTGCCAAGAAGGCGAATTCACCAATGAACGCTGCTCTTTCCATCTGACACTGGGCGATCACGTGAACATCACGCTTCGGTTTTGTTTTGTTTTACTCTATCTTGGATTTGGATAGACTTTCGTTAAAATCAACAGGGTTTTGGTTTTTCGTTAATCACTTCTTTCATACATGCAATATTGCCAGATCTCTTTAAGGATTTTCCTACAGTGCTTGTGTATTCATAAAAGATATACACTCTATAGACTATCTATAAAACGGATATAAATATCACGAATGTCCTAGACCTTTGAAGGAAAAAACCGCGAATTGATAATTTGCTTTTATTAGCTTCATGTAACTTTCAGGCTCGGGATCTGTATTTGACAAAATTATTGACATTATTGCTTGATCTATTCGCGGGCCTATGGCGCTGTACAACCTTATGGATATATTGACTTTATTGCTTGATTTATTCTCGGGCAGATGGCGCTGTACGTAAACTCCTTGATATGATTCACTTAACATGTATTTCTCCATTTGAAAAAAGTATTTTTAAAAAGATTAAAAAACACGTGTTTTTTGGTTTTGTTAACTACATTTGTTCATTTCGAATAGCTAATATCTCCTAATTTTCAATAGAAATATATGTATAGATCATATCGAAATATCAATATTAAATCAATTTAGATTTGAAGAAAATATAAATTGAGAATTTATTCAAACAATTTCAATTTCAAAATTTTAATATTTTGTTTTTGGAAAAATTATTGCATTGAATTCTTGTCAATGAGAAAATGGTTGATTTTTGGAAACTGAAATATACTGCGATGTAAACCTTTCAAACCTCATTAATTACTTACTACTTTTATTTTCAGAATGATGAATACAAGAATATTAGTGTACAAATAGCAAATAAATTTGGGGAAGATGCTTCAGAAAAAGTAACAGTAAATGAAATTTCTATTCCGCCATTTGGAGAAATTCTTTCCTTTCCAAGAGATGAGAACTTCTCTCTCTTCATTCCCAGGCATAGACGCTTGGCTGGAAAACTAATTGATATTTTTCTAGGTAAGGAAAATTTCAGTTCGAGTTCAATTTTCGAAAAAATTATGAAAATTAAATATTGGGCCAAAATAGTTCGTATCTTTCTTATGAAATGTTCCTTATTATGTATTATATAAGCTACATGGAATTAAAATCAAATTCATGTAATGGATATGTATGGATATAAAAAAAATTGTTAGTGCTTGCATTTTTTTTTATATAAATAGTACTGATTTTGTAGAGCTTTCATCTGAAAGTTGGAATGAAATATCATCTGAGTAATATAGGAGGATGGAAATATAGGAGGTTTTTTAAATATTATTTTTATTGCGTTCTTCTGAATTGACTTGACATATTTCATTATTATTTCATTCTAGGAATGAGGGACGTCGACGAACTTCTTTCCGTTGCAGTTTTTGCTCGAGAACATGTGAACCCACTTCTATTCAACTACGCATTTTCCGTTGCTCTGCTGCATAGACCAGACACGCAAGATCTAGACGTTCCATCGGTAATCCAGTCTTTTCCAGACAAATACGTTGACAGCAAGGTGTTTGGACGAGCAAGAGAGATAGCTACTACCATCCCGGAAACGTCTAGAGTGAGAATTACTATTTTTATTCGCCACTTGGCATGTAGTTTATTTTTTGGCGTGATGGGGGGCGATGATAAGTGATGCAATCTTTCATTATATTAGTGCATCAAAAACGCAAAATTCAGTTCTTCGCTTCATCTTCATAGAGTCGTGTATGACGAAGAGACATTTATTTACTTAAAATATATTTTCCTGAAACCATTAGTTGGCCAATCAATATTAATGTAAACAGAGCTCCTCGACGACCAGTTTTCCTCTCAAGGTTTCTGTACTCTCTCTTTGGATTGTACTCGTTGGACCAACTCGCGACCAATGATACTATCTTGACTGTCTACTCTGAAAGATGACAGATGAGTCTACTGATTCTTCTCAAGCGGCTTCTCACTTCTTAGAGAGGATCCTCGTAGATTCCAGGTCATTATGTCGAGTCTACAGACTCAATTTTGAACGAAGAGATATTGTTGGGAAAACAAACTTGCATTCAAATGATAACTGAATTGCCAAATTACATAACAAGCTTGTCAGTGGTGGGTACCAAAAATATATCATTCGTTATTCAAACAGTTGAATAGGATATATGTATAGTGATCATGTCAAATACATATACTAGGTAGAGATAGAATTTTGAAACTTACAGAATTGGTTTTTAGCCGATAAGTAAGATCAAAAGTTGCATGAAAGCCCCAAAAGGTAGAATGAACAAGACTATGTTTTCAAATAAAAAAAAATCCCTCGAATCCATATTACTTCGGCAAGAGAAATCCAGTTCTCAAATATTTCATATTGGCCTCTTATCGATATTCCAGGATATCTAGACTGTTTGTTTCAGTCTTAACCATACGTGTGAATTTTGTTATTTAACCCAACAGTGATATTCTAGGAGTTGCTAAGGTAGTAGTTGCTGTACACATTTCTAGTTCGGAAGATCATTTTAAGTTTCTTTGACTTTGTTGATCCAGTGGCTTGATTGACAAATTGTACCAATTCGATATCCAATATATTAATCAATGCAGGTAACGGAATTGTTCACCCTAACATATACGTTTCTGTTACATTCACCATCTGAGAGAAAATTGATGTCCCTTTCTTAGCATTAAACTCTCATCACTCCATATTCGATTCATTATCTTTCAGTGGTAATGCCAGGTTCTGTTTTTAACCATTCTATTGTGCCCAAAGCCTTGGTTTCTTTCAGCTACTCTTTATTGAATCCTTCGGGTTCCAGATATCCTTGGGTTTAAGGTGTGGTCTCCTTGTTTTTTCTGATTTCCTTATATTTTGTGTTTTTTTCTTCATATTCTATCCATATCGCTACGCTTCAGTTTATATTGCTTCTTTCACACTAATTCTTTTTTTCGCTATTACTACCGTATTATGTGCATACGCAATTATTTGGCTATTATATAGGAACATATTTTTATGCCCTCATGTTATCTTCTGTTGAACGCATGTGGTCATTTTTGACAGGTTCCCATTGAAGTGCCAAAGGATTACACAGCTTCAGATCTAGAGATTGAGCATCGATTGGCTTACTTCAGGGAAGATATCGGCGTCAATCTCCATCATTGGCATTGGCATCTAGTCTATCCAATCGAAGGACCTCTTCAAATTGTCGACAAAAATCGAAGGGGAGAGTTGTTTTATTATATGCACCAACAGATCATTGCAAGGTAAATATTATTTTCAGTATAAGGAATACACAAAGCGACTCGTAGAAAGTAATTCAAAATAACCTCCTTATAATTTCTCAGATACAAATAACTCAGTTGATGATATCTCAGCGGTAAGATCTCAGTGGGAAAAAGTTAAGGATAAACAATTCTCGTGGCTATTCTCAATATGCGACTATCTTTGTCAGGCAAATAAGTGATATTACTGTGTGGCTTGCGAAGTAAGTCACCTGTAACGTGACATACCAAACAGTCAAACACTCGGGAGACGTTATTCTGATTCTCTCAGGTCTATCGAGAACCTCTGGAATATCCTCTATGGCAGGCAGGAAGGCTAGAGCTGAATCGTTTTCTGAACTGCTCAAGAGGTATTTGTCACCTCTCTACTTTGCTGCTCGAAGATCCTGTGCAGGGCATATTCATAAAATATCCTGCTCTAGGAAAGAAGGTGAGTCTCTCAGGATCAAGTTTTGGTAAACTGAGAAGCTCTTGCTCGAGGAAAGTTGGGGTATCTTATTCGAAGTCCACCTTTTCTGTAGACTCTAGGACGAACTCTTTGGTTACTTCATGGTACATTGAGGGTCCCACGAGTTGTTAGGAAAAATAGGTCCATTATGGCAGACTTCTGCATTAGCATGTGATCGCACGGTATGTCAAAGGTTCCGTGAGATGGCAGAGTAATACGCCCTTCGAGCAAAGATAAACATACCATTTATTATGCACTGTTTGGAACCTTTAATGAATATTACCAAACCGTTATTTTAACACCTCGATACGTGTTTCGATCACCAAATGATCATCTTCAAGGTTAAAGGCCTCAGAAATATCAAGCGCAACAGCTCTTGACTCTCCATGTTTTTCAATTGCGTTAACCCGAATGCAAGGTTGCCAGTCGATCTTTGTTTCCGAAAGCTATATTGATGATCGCTCAAGATGTTGAAGCCTTTCAAATATTTGAGAATATGGTGGTTTACACAGTTACAATTTTATCGGTATTTTTGAGCTATAGGAAATACATATAGGATAGTTCTTTACTTTTCGTGATGATTAGTCATTGTGAAAGAATTGAGTTATCACAAAATATCACCATCAATAAAACGTCTGGCTAATTTAGTCATTATTGTTGATTCCACAGGTTCCACCCAAAATAGTATAACTAAAAAAGGGCCTACTAATGTGAATTTAATAAGAAAAATTGAATTCGTTCTTATTCATGCGTCTGTTTTACTGTTAAGTTTCACAGTATCGATTCTGTTCACAGATATAACTTTGAACGTTTCTGCAACCAAATGAAGCGCGTGGAAAGATTCCTCGATTTCGATGAACCGATCAAGGAAGCCTACTTTCCCAAACTTGATAGCTTGGTAGCTAGTCGCAATTGGCCTGCTAGAGTTGCCAACCAACGTCTCCAGAATTTAAGAAGGGAAGTTGATCAAATATATCTTGATATAGACGAAATGAAAAGGTGGAGAGACAGAATATTTGACGCTATTCATTCCGGTGTTGTAAAAGGGGTAAGTAGGCGAAAAGAGAATAGGATAAAAGTGGAGGTAGATCAAACTACTATATTATTACGTTTTCCTCGTGGGTTTGACAATAATTGACCACACTACAATCAAACCCAACTTTATTTCACTACTATATAACACAAAAGCTTCATCAGCTCACTTCGTACCAAACTTCCAACTAGAATTCCCCCATCTGCCTGTTGGTAGTATTTATATACTCTGTTGGAAGTCTCTGGAAGCCGACAGGAATTTTCAGGGGATGATCAACAACAATATATAGATTCCAGCAAAGTAACTTGTTGAAATTATCTTTAGATGTAGGTGTGTGTATGTTTGGCTTAGATGTAGGTGAAATGGCAAATTGTGAATAAGCAAAATTTGGGAGCATATTACACATTCTGTGTTTTTTCTGAAATCACTCTACGAGTGTACATGCACTTTTTTTTAAGATTTACATATCTGCATAATGTATCGCTATTCTCTCCACGAATCGGAGTACTTTTTCATCGACGTAGAGTTTCATATTATATCTTCAGTTAATGATATATTGAATCTGTAATAAGAAGCTATAATGAAGTTAATGATGAACTACAGAGCCATAGAAAATCAAAAACCCTCAAGTTCGAAGAGTGAATAATCTTTGAAAGATATCTTTAGTGTAGGATTCATAGTTTCTTGCAACAGCAAAAGTATTTAATCTTCCACAGTATGCAAAATAAGCATAGCTAAGTCAGTAGAGAAACTGATAGGGTGTAAATGAGGGCAAACTGAAAAGTTTATCCCAAAAAGTTACTGCATGATATAAACAACAGAGGAGTTCAATTCATCAGTAACTCGATGTATTCACAAATTTTGTCTACAAGTGAAATAAATTATTGGAATATGTCAATATTCAACTTTTTCAAAACGGCTAACGTTTCGGAAAGCCAAAAAAATCACTTGTGAGAAGCACATCAAAACAGGTATATTTCCTTTGAGAAACGTCAAAAGGAGTAAAGGTTCAGATGTCACATTCGATAGTTCACATTGTCTACATCAAGATGCATATAATATTCTTAGTTTATTCTCTTGGAGCCTTTCTCAATGTCGAATACTGTTTCAAAAACTCTCGGCCTACGACACTCTTGATGAAGAAATAATAAAGAGATCCAAAAAAGAACAAAACAGAGTCTTTATACTGTACTATGAGAAAAAAACGAAAATCGTGACTATACACTCTGCCACAAAATTATAGCATCATCTATATAATTGGTAATATTTCTTTGAGATATGGTTTATATGAAACATTGCTTTTTTACAATTCAGAAAAAAAATAACGAAAACAGGGTTTTTATTCAATTGAATTTGTCAAGTAGATACACTAGGAGCAAACTGTGGAAGAGTGGGTTGCTTTGCCTCCTATGAACTTTGTAACATCCTGATAATGTTGTGGTATGTTCCAAATCAATTTTCTCAAATAATTGTCATACACATTTTGCCATTCTACAGTCACCAGCCGTAAGGCGTCAGAGTTTCATTTCTTAACTTTCTGTAATGGTAATCCCAGAAATGTTCAATTGGGTTCAACTCTGAACTGCATGTTGGCCAGTCTGAAACTGGGATGTCAACCTCCTGCGAGTACTCCGTAAAGACTCCTGCATTTTTGTCATTCATTCTGGGCATAGTCGTTCAAAAAATATTTGTATTGATGGAGTCTAAATATGATCCTTTGGTTTCGAAAAGAAAACACAGATTTCAATAGAAAAATTATTGATTCTCTTTTCATTTCCTATCAACCAACAGAAACGTTACGTGAAATAACTGTATCTGATTCATATTGATCATTCTAGGAGAACAGAAATGACATAATCCTAACTGAGAATGAAGGAATTGACATCTTGGGAAACCTGCTAGAATCAACGATTTTGTCAGTGAATAGAGCTTACTATGGCGATTTGCACAATATGGGGCATACAATCGTTTCTTACATTCATGATCCAGATGCCAGACATTTGGTGAGTATCGAACGCTTTGAACATGCCCCTCAGTTGATTGTTAGTGGCAATAATTATCATTTGATCGAAAAAAAAAACTTTTTGATATTTGTATATAACTAATAATCTTCAATCTGTATGGAAAAGAACGGTATTCAATGCTTCTGAATCAACTCATTTGAATATTATTCGGTTTCTTGAAGAACCTCTGCTTTCTAGGAATCATTTGGTGTTATTGGAGATTCCACCACTTCTATGAGAGATCCTTGGTTCTATTGCTGGCATGCGTATATGGATGACATCTTTCAGAATTTCAAATCTACTCTACCCAGATATACGGTGGAACAGGTGAGAATAATTTATTTAGCATTCAAGCTCAAAAATTGATGACTAGTCATAACCCAACATTCACAAATTGATGTATAAAGCTTCGACCAAAACTCACTGCAAATACTTTGATCATTGGGAAATAATTTATGGAATACATTAGAAAATTGGTATTGAAATATTAGGGTGGCGATGGAAGAATTGTGTGGCTATTGATGGAGATCACGTTGATGAATAAGGCCAATTTTGAACAAAAATACGTTTTCTTTCTTAGGCCCGGGACTGTAAGTGAAGTAAAACCACAAATTGAATGAAATTACTTTGGTATGATACAAGTAAAAAAGGTGGTGAGGAATCAATATTGGATCAATAAGATAGTTATGAATATTTATAAAATTATGGTAATTGATGACTCATTGATAAGAATTGGTTGAGGGAAAGCGTAATGGTACATTGACCTACCCTGTCAAGTTTGAATAGATCAACAATATTGATTAATTGATTGATAATTTGTTTATTGTTTAAGAATAAAAGTTTTGTTGTATTTGCTGTGAAATATAAATGTATAAAATGTAAATGATTAAAATGAAATATGAACTAAATATACATACATATGCAAAGGTTACATGATAGGAACTAGAACAACGAATAAAAATATGTTTGTCACACACAGTACAATCGCAATTTCCACACATTCTAAATTACAGGGCATCGTCAAAATATTTTTGTAGGTCATAATAGGCTTCATCACTTGATAGTTTTGTACATTTCTCTCTGAATATGATGAAAGGAGTTTCTTTGATTTCATTGGGAAGTTTATTGTATATCCTAGTTTCATTATATATCAACGAGTTTTGAACCAAATATGTTTTTGAAATTGGTAGATTTAGTTCATTTGACAGCTTTGTGTGGTATGTGGCTGTAGCTGCAGATTCAAAGTTCTCTCAATTTTTATGTATAATTGACACGGTTTCCAATATAAATATTGAACATAAATCATGCCATTTCGCTTTACATAAGTACCTGATAGCCCTTTTCTGCAAGACAAAAACCGACTGCATAAGTTATTTACTGCAAACACCCCAAAAGGGTATACCATACCTTAGATGAGAGTCTATTAAGGCATAGTACACTACTTTTGTTGTAGCAAACCTCAGTCGTTTGAGATGTTTCTCAGTGCGAAACATCCGGATGCCAATTTTTTGCAATATGCTGAGAGTATTTTGAATTTTCATCTAAATAAATTCCGAAAAATTGGAGTTATTTTTTATTGTGTTATTGTCTAGGGGATATCAGTATATTATACTTGAATGTTAATACATTTGTTTTGCTGGTATTCAATGCTAAAAGATGCAATTCTTCACTTTTTTCATCTGTTTCTGTTTAAAATATGCTTTTTCCGTTAACCAACGGTCGCACCCCTACGAACGACAACCCTCAGAAATCGAAACTTGTGCGAGCTGAGGATTAACGAGCTCCTACCTTTTAACGATTCATTCCTTGTCATGCCATACTGATGTGGTGTCGTCAGCAAATAAGGTAAAGCTTTCTATAATCGATATATTGGTCAAATTATTAATGTATAACAGAAACAGTATAGGACCTAACACAGAGCCTATATGTACTCCACAACTTATCTCTCCAACGTCCGAGTTAGATGACGTTCTTACAAATTGTTTTCTATCAGAAAGGTATGAACTAATCCAAATATGACTGTTGTCATATTTGAATCTGATACATTCAAAAGCTTTGGATAAGTCACAAAGCACTGCCGCAATATAATGGGATATTCCACCCCCTTTTTAAATTTATCAAACAGGAAGAACTATCAGTAAATAGAAGTAAGTAGAAAATATTAATGCAACATTTCCAAACTATGAAGTTCAATCATGACTATAGTGTATTATATCCTCATAGATGTCATGAAAACGGTCAGATATATCCACTTTCAATTCCATGAATTCCTAATGAAAAACTAGTAGCTTGAATCGATTGATATTATCGATGTTGCCTCTTTCAATCGTTCGAACATTTTCAATATATGAATTCCATTTAATTGCCATTTTACTTGAATTGCTGGTAGAAAATAGTATCTCCATTTGAATTAGTCAATTCATTTTGATTCTTTTAGTTTTTGTTGTTGGAATTTAACTGACCCTTCATTATTTATTTCTCATACTGTTAAACACTGAAAGTTCTAACTCATAAGATTTACGTTTTCTCTTATTCGAACTCCTTATTTTTCCAGATTCTGAAATAATCTAAGGAACAGGTATACTTTTTCCAAATAATACCACCAGACTTGTCAAGTGAATATGTTCAAATTGGTCTTACAATTTTTTCAGTTGTTCCTCCAAATTTTTATTCTCATCATCGATAACCTGTCTATTCACCACAATACACCAATATACGAGTACTTTTCTTTGCAGCTGGACTATCCTGGAATCACTGTTGAAAGCGTGCAAGTTGAAAGTGAAGGTAGCCCAGATAATGTTTTTGAAACATTCTGGCAACAGTCAGACGTCGATTTGTCCAGAGGAATGGATTTCCAACCTAGAGGGGCAATTCTTGTTAGATTTACTCATCTTCAACACACAAACTTCTCATATAAAATTACTGTTAACAATCAAACTACTGGAAACCGAGAGGGAACTTGTAGAATATTCCTTGCACCCAAGTATGATGAGAGGGGAAATCCATGGTTATTCCGAGACCAGAAGACGATGTTCATTGAACTGGACAAATTCAAAGTAACATGTGAGTATGGTATTGATTCAAAATAAAAACGACAACCATTAGTAGATGAGCTACAACATTATTTTCTGGTGGTGGTAACTTCCACTGGTGATGATAGGTAACAGGTAGTAATGTCCACTCAGCAGTAGTTATTAATAATATAGTTCTATCACATCTGAAGTACACCGTCTTTAGGTTGAGTGAAAGAGACCGCTTGTTTAGCTCCGAAATGAGCTGGAAGAAGAGCTAACTTTGTCTTCTCATGGATACTTGTATGTATTCTCATTTCAAATTTTCACCTGAATCTTTACTACCCATAAATAATAGTGATTGTTATTATCACTATTGTTACTATCATATATTAGTCTCAACTGAGATAGAAGGGTATCCAGCACAAATCCATTTTTGTAGTAAGAAAACAACTGAAGCCAGAAAAGTTAGGAGTGCCAAACGAGTTTACTTTCTTTTTTTGTCTGGTTCCAAAATAGTTTCCAGGAAATATTTCAAAGTGAACCTCGAACCGTTAGTCTATTGAAAACTTTTCATGAAACTGTAACAAGTATTTATAGACTTTTGAACAGAACAGGGTGAACTGAAAGTTTATACTCCATATATGCTAGCGATATTAAAAAATTGTTCAATAATTTAGCCCATTGAAGTAAATAAGTTATTTATAGCATTCTGGTTCGAACAAGTGTTTCACAATTATCAGAAGCTCACATTTTCATGTTGTTTGTGTCGAATAAATCCTTTTTTCCCAGGCTGACCCTATTGAATGTATTTTTCGAAGTACGAATGATGAAAACAAATGAACTAGGACAAGTTGACATTTGCGAAAAGTGAAATTTCATTTGAGAAAAATCTATCTCACGTACAGATAAGTCCAACCTCAGGTGACATCATAAAAAGACAACTCGGTTTTGAACATCGCGAAAAGCGACACTAAATACATTTTTCATGGTGCAACTCGGATTATTTGAATACTGATGAGTAAGGATAATCTGAAATGAAACTGCTAGAAATTTGAATTGACCAATCAGATTTGCTGATAATACAGAACAAAAATAATCTCCTCTGTGATCCTGCTCACGTAATTTACTGGGAAAAGCAAGGCTAGAGAAGAGTGAAACGAAGACAATCTGTTTCAAATGCAGATGAAACGTTGCAAAAAAACAACTCACAAACTGAAGAATAGCGAGAAATAAAAAAATATCACATATGTCACATCAAAATTGTTCAATACTAGCGATTTCTAGCATCATAAATTCATTCCGACGAGTTGCTGAATATGAACGAAACCAGTAGAAATACTCCACCAGCTTTGATTCTAGATAATAGGTCACATGCATATTTTTTCTAATTGTTCTAATCGATTATATAATGCATACAAATACTGGAAACATGAGAAAGATGCCAAAAACATGAGTAATTAGTCAGAAAAAAAAATTATAAAATTGTATACCAAATATTGAACATTCAAACGGTCGACCATTTGGCGGGAATATGTGACGTCAAAGTACATGTCAACAAAGCGATCCAAAGCACAGAGAAGTAAACATAGTTGATTCTATATTATATCAATTGATAATTTTAATAAATTAAAGATGGAAAGTAGTGGAAAATCAGTTTATAAGTACTGCATAGTTCCAAAGTGCAACAATACAACGAAAACTGCTCCTCAAAAAGTATTTTTTCTTGTGCCGAGGAATGCAAACATTCGATTAAAGTGGTGTGAAGCTATAAAAAGGGACGAATTTGAGAACCCGAAACTGTCTGAAACGAGCTGCTTATACTGTTGTGAAGATCACTTTGATGTAAGTATTTTTATATTTAAATTGGTATATTTATTTTCAGTGTCATAGTCTAAAACACTAATAAACATATTCACTTCTCGAATTTAAAACCTTTCTGACTGCTGTTATTCTTCATTTTCATGTAGAAAAGGATACAGAGTACTTCATTCAGTACCAAATAATGAATAAACAACAAGGGGAACCTGTTACATTACGTCTACGTGAAGGTATTGTGCCCCACAAATTTCAGTGTCAGAAAGTAAATAGGCCAAAACCTGTGAGAGAGGCTGCTCTCAAAAGACAAAGACTTAGGTTGCTTCAAGAGACTCTATGAGAAGCCGCTCCCAGAGAAGTTATGGAAGAAACTAATTTATGTGTAGGCCCTGTGGATACAGCAGATTAAACAATCACCAGAGAAATAAATTATTGTGAAGCTGGTCCTAGTTCATCTTCACACGACGTTTTCTCAACAGAAAAAAAAGCCTTGCTTGTGACAGAGCCGTTCAAGTTAACACAATAAAGCCAACGACAATGAAATATAGAAGCAAAGGTGTCACTGTTGGTCCTAAGACGAAAAATGTAGCATTATCACCGTTTCTAGTACCAGTTGAAAACACATCAACTTCACCTATTAAAACCGCCCAGATTGCCGGTATGAAAAGGAAGTTATTCCCAGATACAAAACCAACAGCCCTTTTATCTATTACATCGCAATCTTCATCAACCTCTAGTGAGTATGAACAAGAAACTACTTCTTCCGAAGCGAGTTGGTCTCAAGATAACAAGGACAGACAATTTCAAAATGTAATGCGTAGTGCAACATTGACCGCTGTGGAAAAAGAGCCTTAAATGATTGTTTGAAGGTGATTGACAATGTTTCGTGATGAATTTCACTAGTTCGGACTTCCATTGTCTACTATATAAAATGATTTGAAATCCCTGAAACAAGTAAAAAGGAATAATTAAAAGAAGAATAGCTGAAGATAACAATTATATTAAGCAAACAATAAACCTGAAATGAAATGATAGTGAAATAACCTAAAAGTAAAAATATAATAATTGAATAAATAAAAATTAAAGGAGTGAAAAAAGAAAATAATAAAAAAGTGTAGAGATTCCAAGTCACATTAGTTCACGACGTTTCGATTGTTGGTATCTACAATTGTCTTCGGGTGATGACTGACTCAGTCATTTTTATTTGAGGTTATGTACACTTTCTCAATGTTAGTAAGCAAATAACTAGAAAACTGAACGAAAAGCTGAAATTAAAGACACTTATACACAATGATTATTCAAGTACCTTGCAGCTTTGACGCCTCTAATCTCAGCTGAAGTGAAATCGGGATGATTTGCGAAAAAACTTGTCATCAAGAAGATATCTATTCTCGGCAAATTGTCAGATTATGCCATGACAAATCCAGCTTCAGTCATTGTATTTATTTTCTGGGACGTTCACAGTAATGATGAAATGATAATAGCCAAATAACTGCTTGCAAAACTCTAATTAGACGGAAAAACAATAAAAGAATAGTACAGAACAGCATGTAAATAAATGTTGTTGACATGGACTTTGACGTCATCCTATGATCCTAACATCCCGTTGCGTTTTACCTAATTTGAATCTGTCTCGTAATTTTGACTTTTTCAATTATGAACTATTTAAAATTTATAAAGTATTATCTCTCAACTTCATTTACAACTTCAGATTTGGAAAAAGATCAACAAATATTAGAAACAAAACATGCATACTGCAGAAGACAAGTATTTATAAAATTCTTAATTTTCCAATGAAGATGGCTTTGGAGTCTGTTAATTTTTTTCAAATACATTTTCTCGCTATTGACAATCCGCTAGAGTCGGTATGATCAGAAAAAATGAGTTTTTGTGTTGATTTAGAATCATTTATCCATATCAATTTTGCATAATTTCGCGTGATTTTTTTCATTGCTTAATAAAAACGCCACTTCAGTAGATCATCCTGGCTTCGTGCATTTCACAGGTCATTTCTAATGCACTTAATATACATCCTTAGGCAGACACACTACGAATACACCATGAATGCCTTTGATCTACGATTGCTTGAGGCGAGAGCTCCGCTTGTGATCCTTTATCCTGAAGTTGAAGCTGTGTTTGGTAGGTCCAATGTAAACTAAGCCAGAAGAACAGGAATTTTTGTAAAAACTGGCAGATGTCAGATGTGTTCCTTGTTGTTGGCTAGTCTTCTAGTCTTCCGTAGTTGATGAGTTGGCTAGTAATTGGTATTGATGTTATGGCGTTCAAACAGGTTTTTGAAGGTTGAAGGTTACCAGTCACATCTCTTATTTTTTTTTGAAATGCAAATAATAATCAATCATTATTTGGCGAAACTTTGTTCAACCCATAGCTTTTCATTTTCTTTCAGATCGAACAATCCATCGAAGGACAGTGCAATGATGCTGGTAGCTACTGCGGCATCAAAGATAAACTATATCCAGATCGTCGTTCAATGGGATATCCGTTCGACAGGCAACCTAGAGATGGCGTCGATACTCTCCAGCAATTCCTGACTCCTAATATGAGAGTTCAAGACGTCTCTATACGATTCAGTAACAGAACGGAACCACCAAAGGCGAGAAATTAATTTTCGAAATGTAGAAACTCTCACAATTGCTTTTGTTCAAGAAATAAAATCATTGCTCCTGCTTTCAATGTGTTGCTTTCGTTCAAGAAATAAAGTCATTGCTTCTGCTTTCAATCAGTTGTTTTGTTTGTTTGCGATAATATGGAATGCTGATGATTTGACGCTCATTTCCAGTTGAACTTGAATGCTCTCTTTTTTTTTGGAGGCTCCCACATTGTCCTTCAGAGAAATGGAGAAGTAGAAACCAAAATCTTCCTCTTCCCAATCCCGAGAATATACCCCTTTCAATTCAAACAGCTCGATACACTCAATCCAGCGGTTCTTCAACTTATTTAACTCGACTCAAAATATGTTATCTCCTCCGTAGCGGCAATAACCTCTTGATTCGACTCAAATTTCTGACCGGCGAGAGACTTTTCCAAGTTTGGAAACAAAAAGACGTCGCACAGGGTCAAATCTGAAGGATATGGTGGATAGAGCAGCAGTTTGTAGTCCAGTTTGACCAATATGGCATGGCGTCGGTGGAGATGTGAACTGATGTGTTGTGTTTGTGAAAGAGCACATTTTTTTCGCCAAATAGGGTCTTTTTCGCAATTTGGCGTCGAGTCGGCCCAATAAATCCCCATTTTTCTTTCATTTCTCATTTTTC